CAATGACCCTTAATCCTGCCTCTGTGACCCCACAATTTTTTCTCTCCCCTCCTTTATTAATTCCCTTCACCGTGTCTCTAGACAGCAGCAGTTTCATCCCTTGCTACCAGCGACTGACACCTGCTGGGATCACCAGCGGGAAGGGAGGAAAGGGGCTGGGTCGGGTTGAGGAGTTTGAGACCTGGTGAATGGCTTCCCCATCATGAATGCAGGTAAGAAATGTGGCCGAAGTCCAAGTACTTGCACTAAATGTCAAGTGTCTTCTCTAGCTTGAGGCCGTGACATGGTTGGCAGCTTATTGGCAGCTTATCTCATTTACACTAAGAAAAACACAGAGTCTGCGATCAAAGCAGAATGCGCCTTCCCCATACTGAGAGCTGGGGGTGGGAAAGCACCCACCAGAGCTGCTTGCACCCTTGCTGCTTCCCATAGCAGTGCATGCAGCTCCAGCCTCCAGCACGCCCTGCCCATCTGACTTGGCTTCTGCCTCCGTGCTGCGCAGACCTGGAGAACACCCTCTTTTTGCACAGGGAGCTGCAGGCTGCATTCCAGTGTTATTCCGTTCTACAGCTCAGTCCCCTAGTCTGGGCACCCCAGACCCTGCTCCCATCTTCCCCCTCCTTAATGGAAGTCACTGGCTCCGTATCTCTGCAATCATCTGCTAGTCACGGGGAGAAACTCAGTTTTGCACCACAGTTTTTCACAATGAGACTCACCTTCTAGCTGTGGTTATGGTTTCACAGACCAAAGTTGCCTGTTACTAGCTCCTGTTTGTGCAGTTGCTGCAGCTCATGCTACTCAGTGCAAAAAGAGCTTGCACCTGGGGCCTGGGTGGTAAATCCTGATTTTAATTTCCATGTTGTCTTTGGAGAAGTCCTTTGCTGGAGAGGCTAGGAAAGAAGTGCTTGGGAGCTCACTAAAGAGCAGCAGGTTGCATGTTCCTTGGCTTGCAGTCATGTGTTGAGTTCCCTGCAGTTGTACAAGTTTTCTTTGGCTGGAGGTCCTCATGAGCAGCGTTCTTGCATCTTACAAAGTTTTCTTATCAACAAAGCAAGCATTTTCAGAAGATTCAAGATAGCTTTGCTATTTCTTGTTTTTCTCCCTCCAGAGTTCAGAGCTGCTCCTATGCTCTTATCACCGGCCACATCCAGAAGGTTTGTGGGATGCCACCATTAACCTCTACTCCCTAATGCCAAAGTGTCAGACAGTAGAATTAGGGTCTGGCCCCAACACACTGATCCTATTCCAGGGGGCCCAGTGCTCTTGGCAACGGGGGTGGAATGGTAGACCCATCCTGAGGCCAAGGAAGAGAGGGAGAAGGGGGTGAAAAATGATTCTGATTGCATGATGAGGATCTCCTCCTTTGCTGTGACATCTCTGCTGTCTTCCTTCCTTGCTAGTGCACTGCCATGCCTCGCTGCGCTGACTGTTAGCATCAGTTATTTGTTTAGCCATGACCACATGGGAGGCTCCCAAGTTTCTGCTGTAAGCAGTGAGGTCAGAGTTGTGACGCACTTGAGCTAGCTGCCCAGGCAGGGGAGGGTATCCAAGAGTCTGAGAAATTCCCAGCAAATTTCATAGAGTTTAAAAATACCCTTTCATGTTCCAGCCAAAAACATGGGTTCTGCTTGGAGGAAAAGTCTGGTAGAAGCTCCCAGAAAGCAGAGGAGAGAAAGAAGAGGCAGAATCTGAAGGGGAAAGAAAGACCCTGGGAAACTACTGATTATGAATTATTATTATCAGAAATTTTAATTCACTGGTGTCCATTGGTTTTAGACAATGCTCGTAGCATTGCTTCTGCTTCCCACTCAGATGTGGCCCCCAAACCACTATATCTCACTAAAATATACAGCTCTTGCATTCACATACACAACCAGTTAATTTCCCTTTGCCCAGTCTATACTCAACGAGGGGACACCGTGTCCACTCATCTCTTCTATCATTTCTGTGCAGGTACAGGTAGGGTAGGGCACAGGCACATTTATTTTAAGGTGGCTAGCTTGGTCCCATCCTGATTTGGAAAACTGGTGACAAGACCAAAAAAGCTCACAGACTGGAGAGGCAAAAATCTCCCCTGAAGCAGTGCCCCTGGGGACTGTCAGGGAACAGAAATGGCAAAAGGGCTTGCAGAGACTATGGAGAGTTCAGATGCCTTTCCTAAACTAAACCAAAGGGAAACTACAAAGATACCAGCGGATGGTTAGGAGAAATGGTGTAATGATGGTGCTGGGCTCAAGCAGAGCTGATGAGAAAATTACTTGTGACCACGGTGTGGAGAATCTCAGGAATGACTACATTCACACTACACCAGGCAGAAAATAAACTCTTTTGAACCCTTCCTCCACAACAAGGACCAGGCTGGAGGCTAAGTCTAGGCTGTGGAAGAAAAGAGGTTTTGTTTGTTAATCCATAATAATGGCCAAGGCAGCTTGCTCCAGCTGATCTGTGCTATTTGGGTACCAGACGAGAGACAAAGTGAGGTGTAAGCATTTTCTAGTGGGTGTGTTTCTAATACCATCTGACCTTGGTGCTACAAGGGAACAGTCAGAGCAGTAAGCCCCACAGGAAAGGCTTTGTAGGTACAAGGCACCCAACACAAGAGGTGGCATGCTGACACGTGCATCAACGCGAAACCAAAACCTTGGTCAAGACGTCACGTTGGTAGGCTGTGCTGGCTATCATGTCGGAAGCAACTGCTGCTGCTGCACATGCCACTGCTGCTCCAGCCGCTGAGGCATTCGCTAAGAAGCCAGAGAAGGTGGCAGGAGGATCCAAAACCCTGCAAGCCCCCAGACTCCAGCGGGGCTGATGATGAGGGCGACGACTGTCTCCAAGAAGCACAAAAGAACTTTCTCTCACCACTCTGAAAGGGAACTGAAGTCTACGCAGTACAGAAGGACAACAGCTGCACAAGGCTGGGCCTCAGGAGCCTGGACAAAGGCAGCACAAGAGGACTTGGTACTTCTAGCTCCTTTAAACTCAACAAGCCAAGAGGAAGAAGGCAGCAAAGGCCAAGAACCGCCTGACCCTTGACCAGCACTGCCCAGAAGCCCAGATTAGCTGTGGCTGTGAAGGAAATCCCACGGCAAGCCAAGAAACTGGCAGCCACCGTGGCCAAGAAAGCAGGCTAGAACTTAGAGAATATGAGCGCTGACAGACCAAAAAAGGCAAAGATCCAGCTAAGGGCAAGACCGTGAAACCCAAGGCTACCAAACCCAAGGCAGAGAAATCGAAAGTGGCCTCAGGCTGAGAAGGTAGTGCACAAGAAGTAGGTGCTGTATGAGCACAGACAAAGTGTCCTGCTTCAGGGACACAGAGCGTAAATCCTTTAATTGCAACATTGATTTTCATCATGTTTTGCATTTTTAACGCAGTTTCCCCAAAGGAAGATAATTAATTGTAATCATTAAAATTCCTTGTTTTGCAATAAAACTGAGGCTTTATATGAATTAAATGTTTCTTCTTGCTATTTTCTTCAATTGCCTGCAGCAGTATTGTAGGGGAGATGGAGACAGAGTCTTCTCAGAGGTGCACAACAAAAAGAATAGAGGCAACAGACGAAAGCTGCAACAAAGGAATTTCTGATCCGACATCAGGAAAATATTCTCCATCTTAAGTGTGGTACAGCACTGGAACAGGTTGTGGATTCTCCGTCCTTGTTGACTTTTTCAAAATTCGGCTGGACAAGGCTCTGAGCAATCTGATTAGGTTTGAAGTTAGCTCTGCTCACTAACTTTCAATGTAATTTTATCTATGATCTTGACTGGGAAGGTATACTATCTCAATAAGGACCATTATTTAAAAAAATGCACAGCTTCATGTACATTTATTCTTATATTTAAGCAGGTGAGTTCTCACATTACTTATTACTTAGGCACATTGAATTACATATGCTTATTTATTACAACGTTTTGTTAATGTCTAATTTGTGACAAGCTGTATTTGTATGGAAATTGTAATCTTAGTAAAATGCCCGAAACAGTATTCTGAAAGAGAAATTTATTCATTAAATGAAGCTTTGCTCTGCTGATGACTTTCACCAATTCATTTTTTTTATATACTTCAACACAGTAGCAACAAGTACATGCAGCTTGCATTTTAACTGATATAATTTATATTATTGAAAACATTTTTATTTGAAAGAATCATTTACATTAATAGCAAAAGTAGACAATCAAATTTATTCATGATGTTTCACACACTTTTTTAATAGTTTTTTTTAATGGACTAAAATCCAGCTTTCTATTTTGTGGGAGTTGATTCCAGCTTGCTACCTTACAAGGGCTAAGGATGGCAGGGACAGAGAGAAACGAAGCAATGTGCTGAAGATCAGAGAGCAGGAGGTGACGAGGAGATCTAGAAATGAAATTCAGATTTCTTGTGCCCCAGTCAAGGGGCTGTTCACAACTGGACAAATGTACACTGTCAAACAATGCCAGACCATGTGGTGCCAGGAGTAAATGTTATGGGATCGTGCACCTTTAAAATCTTCTTTTTTAAAAAAAAAAACAGCTTTTTTTTATTTTAAACTGAAATCCTTTTTGGTTTCAACCCAGCTACTCTTTATGTAATAGAGGTGCTCTTTTTGGATGGGTTGCAAGCACCGCTCCCCCCTATGAAGGACAAGCCCACACCCCAGCCAGCGGTATGCTCTTGAGGGATCCCTCCAAGCTGAGAGGCCTGATGACAACACCTTTTGTTCGTGCTGCAGGTTCTTGTGGACAAGATCCAGGCAACATGGAGCTTCCAGGTGACATGGCAGCTGCTTCCAACAGCCTTCCCGTGCTTTCCCGCAGCACTCCCCTTCCTCCTCGCCTTGTTTCTGCAACCAGGGCCGCCACCTCAAGGCATGCGGTTGCTGTTCCCACAGTACACAAGTTGACCTGAGGTGCCATTCTCCCCTCCCTGCTCTGACTGGCATGTCCTTCCCTTCAGAAAACCCCGATCTTGGCAGCTGAGGGAGCCACAGCGCGTGAGAACCAGAGGGCAAGAGAAAAGGAGAGCTGGCATGGGCCAAGCACCACCCGCAGCCCCACTTGGCAATGCCGTGTGTCACTTCATCGAGGACCCTTCCTGCCGCCCCACTTCAGCCCCACTGTCCTCCTCACCGTGTTTCTTGCTCTGAGATGAACATGCGAATAGAGAAGAAAGGTAAGAGATGAGGAAAACAGAGTCAGAGAACAAAGAGGAGAAGGAGAGATGGGAAGGTGGAACAACCCTTGCTTTCCAGGTGCAGCGGAAACCCTCAGTGCGGCCAGCTCCCCTGAGGGGACTCCAGCAAAAAGTGAGGTACCACTTCAAACCGGAGACCAGGCATCAGAGCACTGGCCGTGAAACAGCAGCCTTCAAATTGGCAACACTGATGGGTACTCAGGAGCCGTGACAGAGAAATGAGCAAGAACAACCATTGTGTGGGAAGCGACTGCAGGCCATCTAACTCCCGCTCCAGGTCAGAAGAGATTATGAAAATCTCTAGATCATGCTTCTAAAATGGGACTCTGGCAGCTTTCTTTGTGGCTAGTCCAACTTCATGAGAAACATACCTAGCTGGAGCTATATTTAAAACCATTTCCCCAGCTTACAAGAGAAGGCAACGTCCAGAGACCAGCAACGCAGCACCATGACCATTCAGGCTGGAATGGCAGGGGAGAGAAATCTGTGTAGGGGATAACTGCTAATGAAGATGGGGAAGCCTGTCTGCGGACTCCAGTACTGTAAGGAAAGGGAAGAATAAACCGAATTACAGAAAGTTGATGGCATATGTTGTGCTCTGCTCCCACAGCTGGTGGAACGTGCCGATAGAGGGACACAGCAAAGGCCAAGAGCTCATGAGTCAGAGCAGGGTCGGGCCTGTGTAGACGGGAGCAACATTTACAGTCACTCGGGCTGAGGCTGTTTTCATTATAACAGCCTGAGATAGGGACACCGCAGCGTTAGCCAGGAAGGAGCATTGATTCTGGGGGGTAGTGTTGTGCAATAACCTGCATTGTGTGGTTTAGTCCTGAAGAACTATGGGACACTGTCAGAGGCAGTTTAATGGGTAATTTGGGCCACAGCCACTTTTGTTCTAGAAATACCATCTAAATGCAGACTTGACTGCTTGCACATGAAGACGCTGCCTAAGGTCGCCCATGCTCTGAGTGCTCCATCTTTTCAACCAAAATATGACGTACAGCCAGTGCCTGATGAATCTATGCAAGAGTCAGAAATTCAATGAAAGAGAAATTTTCCTAATCCTTTTGACCTAGATGTGTAATTTTTAATGTAGTCTTTCAGTTATTCCCATTACTGAGTTAAATGGCTCTAGGGAACAAATTCTTCTTTGCTTATGAGATGATTTATCACAGCTCTTCTCTTATTTCAGCCATCTTACCATTTTACTTGGAGATGGCAATTCTCCACCAGGAGGTCATGGCACCTGCACAGTGAGAAGATGTGTTCTCAGCACAAATCTCATGGCCTGGGAGGAGTTATCCCTGTGCTCAGCAGCTATCAACTGTCAGGAAAATCTAGCACAGCTATCCATGGAAAAAAAATGCTGAACATAATTTTCTGTATCTCTCGAAAAAATGATGACCTCCCAGGAAGACCCGTGATTCACAAGTGAAGGGAGGGTGGCAGCGGAGGACTGGGCTAGCAGGGAGTAAAGAGGTCCAAATGACAGATTTGGGCTGGAGTCAAGTCTGCCCACAAATCTGGAGGAAATACAGCTAGAGACAAAGAAACCCAAACACATGAGAGTTGCCAAGAATAACAGGAAATAAATTTTCTTTTAATATTTTTGTGTGCATTATATAGACCCTAGCATTAAAACAGTGTTCTCCTGGAGAGGAGCACCTCTTCCTGTCCCTGCAGAAAGCAAGCAACAGAAAGGCTTCTAACCATTCCCCAAACTGTATGAATGTTAAATTTCTATATACTGTACAGTAGCTATGTTATACAGTTATATATCTATATCTATATCAGCTTACATTCAACTCTAAATACAGAGTAGAGACTTGGCCTAGTCCAATTTCCAAGAGCTCCCTCTAACATCTCATCTCCATCCCACCTTCCTCCACACAGGCAAATTCCAGCATTGAAGTCAGCGGCTGCCAGTGGCTTGAATGTCTTTGAGATCAAGCTCTCAGTGCCCTCCTTTCTACAGAAACGTGCACGCTCTCAGTACAGAGAAATTCCTCCTCCATTCCCAGTCTCATGAGCCTCCAGTACTCGAGAGGAGCATCATCCTCTGTGCAGGGGTGCGATGCCCCTATATATAGGATGAAATTCTAGTCACCGCGTAACTTCAAATTCTTTCTCCTGTATACTGGATTAATATAGAGAGATTTAGCCCATCTATGGCCAATTTTGTCCTTATATGGAACAAATCTCTGTCTGCACAGGGAGTCTTCCCCTACACAGAGGATGTAACCAGCTTCTTGCTGCATATAGCAGAAATCTGCAATTTTTTTTCTCTTTTTTTCGGAGACATCTGCAAACGACAGCAAACTGTCCCCTATATTGTGTGACCCTGGCTCTGTGCAGCAGACCAGTGCTCCTGCAAGGCTGAATGGTACTCAGTTCAGCAGCAGAGCATATCATGTGACAGGGGTGAATGCCTACTCTAGCAAACTGGCTTTCTGTTAGTTGGGAACAACGCCTAGAGATCCTAGAGACAGGGTCTTGCTGATGTTCTGCTGCAGTGAGCTAAGCTGTTCAGCTCCAGTGCCCCACAGAATCATGCCACTAAGAGTCACATAGAGTGATTAATACACTTCAGACAGCTCTTCCCCACTTACCCTACCCAGTCTCATAGTGAAAACTGCCCGTATACCTGGTAAAGTTCTCCATATATCTGGAAAACAAAGTTCTCGAGCAGACCACAGACATCCAGTGCTACCAGAGTGAATTCTTTTCCCCAGGTTGGCCTGCCTCTATAAGCGCTTATACCTGCAGATACGTTTACCTCCCCACCAGCACCTGGCTCTGTGCAGGTCAGCACAGCCAGAGAACCTGCAGGAAAACCCAGAGATCCCAGATAACGATTCTTCTCCCACATCCCATTCCAATTTGTGACTCCTTTCTGCTTTGTGCAGGAGCTCCCAGGACAGGAGGTAGGAACTCAAGTAGAGATACTGAAAGCAGGCTCAGCAGCTGGAGAGTGTGGAGGTAGCCAGACCAAGACAAGTCACCAGGACAAGCTAATTCATTGCAAGTTCCCAGTACTGCGAGAACACATAGGTTCCTCGTGGGCTCTCTTGGGCTTAGGAGCAGAGGCAGCCATACTTACCGCTCCCTGGAACTTGCCTGGAATGGGCATCAAGAGATTTCTTCAATGGGAAGGGAGGGACAGAATGGGGGAGAGGAGAGGAGGGAAAGGAAGAGGCAGCACTCTGTTCCAACATAATCTTCTTGAGAAAAATATAATGTCATACTAAATCCAGAATTCTTCCTTTTGGTAGCAGTTGTGTGTGAGGGAGGCAATGGGCTTGAGACAAAGAACTTCCCAGAGGTAGTTATAAATGATCTGCTGCCAGACAGGGACAATGAGGTTTGCATTGGGTTGAGGACAGCTCATCTCCCAGTTCTGTCACTTCTCTGAGGCCAGCAGACACAGGAGGGGGCTGTGCTATCACAGAGCAAACTCAGTGGCTCAGGAGGACTGGAGAGGCCCAGGCTGACTAACCATATCCGAACTCTACTGATGCCATGCCAGAAACCTAGGCCAGGAGTCCTAGGGCATAAAGGTTTGCACTCCTCCACATGAGACGCAGCTTAGGGCATCTGTACCGCTGGAGAGGACTACATCCTGTCCCCATGTCTGTCTCTCTGCAGGGGCAAAGCAAGAGAAGATGCAGCACATTTATAAGGACCTCTGGGAAATGAGCAGTTCACGGCCTGCCAAACAGAGTTGGAGAGAAAAGAGAGGAGCATCCCACATCCTCAGCAACAGATTTAGAAGATGACAACAGCCACCATGACAGACTAGCAGAGAGGGGACTCTGTGTACTGCAGCACCTGAAGAAGAGGATGTGGGGAAAGGCAGAGAAGCAAGGAAATGGTGGGGAAATCACAAACGAGAAGGACTTGTCTTGGGTTGTAGGTAGTGGATGACGATTTCTCTTCTCTCCTTTCCTTTTTCTCTCCTACTGTTGGTAGCTCACAGAGCATCAGGCCTGCTGCGCTGCTGCTCCAGGAGTTGTCTGCAAGGGAGATGCGGGGGTTGCCCAGATCGGCGAAGACGTCGAGAAGGAAGGCCAGCCAGCTGGCGACAGATCTCATCTGAAGACATAGCAGACACACACAGGTTGACAGATAATCAAAGCTTCCTTCAAATTGTTCACCACCAGAATAGTTAGAGGTACATCCTTCACTGCATCTACAGAAACTGTTGGAACTGCTGAATCCTCATATACATGAGGCAAGTGAACAAGTCCTTAGGCTTTTATTCATTTCCTTCTTGCTTTATTCATGTACAATACATATTAAAATCACTTGTATTTTGTTGCAACAAAGACTGCATAAGAAATCTAGACTGGATCCTGTTTCTATTCATGAATAGAAATACTGAGAGTTACTCTTTAATCTCAAAGGAATGCAACTTTGAGTAAGGGTGTGTCTGGGGCTAGTAGAGCGTGATCAAGATCAAGGAAGGCAGAGCTCTCATACTTCTTGGTAGTACGGTATCTGCTTCCCAGTGTTTTTCATGCTGCGTACTGGATGCAAGGCTGCATTGCATTAGAGCTCCCCCAAACCAAGTCCAAGGAAACTACTACATATGGATTGGGGTTGGGTAATTAGTTAGCTTGGAGACTCTATCAGATGGCTGCAGCTGTTCTTCTAGGCTAGCTTGTGCTATCACTCACCTTGCATGACCTCATTCTCCTTGCAGACAATGCGAGAGCACACCTCCTTATTTATTATGTACATGCGACGCACACTGAGGGATCACCAGGGACACGCCAAGGACAGGAGCAAAAGGCACAGGGACCCAAAGAAACAAAAAAGGGATACAGGCAATAAATATGTATATTCGCTGATGCGGAGGCAAATTCTAGATTTTTAGGATTAGTTAGTCTAGAATAAGGCTGTTGTCAATAGGAAAGTAATCTTTGTCAAGACTTCATGAAATGGCCAAATATCTTAAATACAGATTACAATATAGTGCACATTACAGCTCCTTAGTGCTGCACAGGTAACAGTTATTAATTAATTAATAGCTATTAATTAATAGGTATTAATTAATCACACTAAAAGGACACACCGAAGATAGGATTCATCTCACCAACTGGTTCCCTGAGGGAACCTCTAGTCTTCAAAGGAAACAACTGCTGAACTGGACATGCTGTTTCTGGAGAGTTTCTAGGGCTTTTCTTAGGGACTGCTGGTTTCTTACCTTGTAACACAGAGGTAGCTGATACACTGCTTTACTGGTTTGTGAACAGAATACAGGCGTGTGCAAGGGAACTTCTCTTCACGACAATCTGGGAACACACACACACACACAGAGGTGCAATACAGCATCATTGGCAGGTGCACACATATAACTTAATCACTAGGTACTGTCCTCCAGGCTTCTAGGGAAGGCCCCTAGCCTCTATTTTCCACTCTCCTGTGAGAGAAGAGGAAAACAAGGCAAACATTTCTGATCCCCTTGCCTCATAAGACAAAAGTAAGGGAAAGTTGAGTGAAATGCAAAACAAGCCCACTGGGAATCCTCAATACAGAAGGCACATGCTGTAAAGGGGACAGACACAAATAAACAAAATGTAAATTGTAGTTGCATGTTTAAGACACGTGTTTCTAATAGGTCTGCAATCTCACATTTCAGGACACAAATTTAGTTCCTTTCTTTTCTGGACAATCAACCCTGTAGCTAACTATGATGGGTTTTCTTGCATTTCCTTCTGAAATGCCAGGTCTTGGCCACTGACAATGACAGAATATTGACCTAGCGTATCTGGTCTGGTGATCTGCCAGTTTCTCCCCTCTCGGACATGCCACCCAGGGGAAGACTTCATGTTCCACTACCGTCATTCTCCAGTACTTCTAACTCAAGGAACAGGGTAAAGGGAATTTTCGAGGAGACAAAGCTCAGTGCTCAGCCAGCACCTGCCTGTAGAGGTAACAGGGTCTGGGAGGGGGTGCAGGCAGCAAACTTAAACATACCTGATGAAGCTGTCGTAGTTTCGCTGTCAGACTGAACTGGAAGACAGAGGGTAGCAAAGTTAGTGTGATTTACCATGATTCCTTCCTAGACAGCAGCTTACTCAAAACAAGTAACTGGAAAGCTCTTTTAAGAGCCCTCCATTGTAACTTTTAATGTGGAAAAAGTTTTCATTGTTACTGACATGAAACCGTAAGAGAAGGTACAAATCCAGTATGAATCTAGTGCCAGCTACCCAGCCAACAATGCTAAAAATCTGTCCCAGCTTTACCAAAAAGCATTACCACTACTCTTCAAAATGACACTGTAAGGGCATCTTGACTTATAATTCAAAAGGTCAAGCAGATGTATTTAGTTGCTGTAATTGCTGTCCATTTAGGCAAGCAGCAAAGGAGCCTGTGACTGCCTCTTACTAAGGAACAGTGACTCCTTTAAGAAACAGCATTCCCAGACTGCTGGTTCTTTAATGTGCATGACAAGGGGTCAAAAGGAGGTTGGTTTGTTGTTCCCTCTGATAAAGCAACCCACCTGCAGTAAATCAGTACATTTTATTATTTACCCAGTGACAAATTGGAAAGGAGCTCGGAGGACTGACTGCCAGGCTCAAGTTTTCATCAACAGTTATAAAGGACTTCCACTTCTCCTGTTCACGTGCCATAGTGTCAGCCAGAAGCATAGACAAAACAGACGGGCGTAGAGAGGAGTCTTTTGGGCGTCTGGGCTATGGTTAGGGGCAGTCAGGGAAGGCAGGATTCTGGGTGTGCAAGGGACTGGGCAAGGAGAGGGAAGGGGGCTCCACAACATTTGGCTGTGAATTGAGAATAAACTCACCAGGACTAAGAAGCACAGGTGGTGTGACAGCTGCAGCTGGAAAAAGAGAAGATGTTCTGAAAGATCTTAATTTGAGCTTTCAGCCTTTTTCCCCCTCCCACAGTTCTACCGATGGCTCCCCCACTCCTGACCAGTAGCCATCCCACATCTGGTTCATAGACAATGCTATGTAATGTTGTTATCTGACTTGTCAGAGTAACTGCAGGCTTTCCCTGTGAATATGCCGGGTGTCCTAGAGCTGATGGGATGCTGTAGAGCAGAGATGGGTCCCATGGCACATCCTTTGTGAAGAGTTTCTTCTTGATCCCTCAACAGCCAAAGTCTACTGTAAAGGCTTCACAGTTAAGTCTTTTCAGGTTTAGATGTAGGTTAGCCACCGCCAGTTTGGTCTGGACACCAAGTCTTATCTACGCTCCTACAGACTGTCAGGTCTCACACATTGAACACGAGACTGACACAGGTTGATTTCACCTCCCATCCCCACCAGGAAGATCATGCACCTTGCATATACAATATTGGGCTTCCACTTTTCTCCTCCAGTGTTGTCCCAGACAGCTGGTCAGCTTGACCCACAATACTCCAGCCAGCTGATGAGCAGAGTCACATGGCAGAGGAGAGACCATGGAACTGCTGTCCTGGAGAACAGGACACCACTCTCAGATGAGCTCTCCTACACAGCACACTTCCCAGCAATAGCCAAGCGCTGCTGCCTCTCCTTTGTCTTTTGAACCATATCATCGACCAGTTGTGTTCTCCCTCTCCCTGCCCTGCCTGGTCCCCCCCACCTCAGAGGGATGTGTTTGAGAGACTGCCCCAGCAGAGAGAGAAACCATCGCCGAGGCCAGTGGTGCCGGATTTGAAACAGGCCTCATATGGAAAAAGTGGGGAGGCTCCCTCTTGAGCCTCTGGCTCTCTCCTCCATTCCCCATTGTGAGTCTGCAGGATTAGCCTGTCTTGTAAATGCCTACACTCCCATCAGCTCTGTGTCCTTCCCCTGGGGCTACCTCCACAGCAAGGTTTGGCTCTCTAAGGAGGCACATTGCATGCTACAAGTGTCCTCCATCCACCCTATCTTTCGTATACATTTTGCTGCCCCCCAGTGACATAGCTGCAGGCACGGCAGGGAAGACAGTACTAAAAGAAGAATATTTCCACCTCCCCATCCCACCATTGCTCAGAGTTTGCTTTATCACCATCTTTCGGGTTTTTTGCCACCTCTGTCTTCTGAGCACTCAAGCATGGCCGCTAGCTGTCAGCAGACACAGACACAACCTGTGTCCCAGTGCTGCCCAGTTAACTGGTGAACCTGACCAATTTATCTCCCTCATCATTTACTCTCTTCCTTCCTGCAACCTTCTCTGGAAGCCCAGGCTGCGTGAGCTTCGGGTTTCATGGCTTCCTGCAGTGCAAACAGCTTCAGAGAGCCCTGGTACACCAGGTGAGATTGGCATTTCCTTGGAGAACAGGCCATTAACCCACTCCAAATTCATAGAATCATAGAATCATAGAA